TCATCGCATATGTCTTCGTACATTTTGGGGTGAAAAACTTAGCTTTTTATTGGGTGGTGTGAAAAACTTAGTATGACTTCAGAACGGGGTGAAAATAACTATTTCCTCAAAGTAGGTTTATGAAGTTTATTGTTATTGGAGGTTTATGAGTATAGGAGTAAGAATGAGGTTTTGGATAATGTGGCGGAAATGTAAAGTGAGGTTTATAAATGTTTATTGTTAAAAGATGCACCCAAGAGCGCTTGGATGAGATGACTTGAGTCTCTTCCAGCTTAACCAGTGGTCTCGTGTTCGAGCTTTGCTAATGCAACAGTGTTAAAACTCTTGAGGGAGAGCTTTGCCGCCCTTGTGGTCCTACCCGGCTCGATTCTGGATTAGTCGGTTCCCCTGTGGATCCGAAACCGGAAGGTCCCTGTACCAAAAAAAAAAAACTATAGACAATTTTGTAGCTATTCGGGACTCCAAAATTCTTTCATTGTTTGAAATTGTTATGTAGAGTTCAGTTCCGCTCGTTTAATAAATGAATTGAGTTCGAGCTCGAGCTCGAACTCGTTTAGTAAATGAGTTTAGTCGAGCTCTGCTTGTAAAGTTCGAGAACTATGGTCTTATATAATTTTTTAAAATTTCAACTCGGCTCGCTCTGTTAAATTTCGAATTTGACTCATTAGTATTGATAAGCGAGTCAATTCGACTTCATTTAATTTGATGATGAGGTGAACTTGTCTCAACCAATAAATGTTCGAGTTCAGCTCGTTTGCAACTCTACTCAAACCGCGCGTTGAAAGTCTTCCCCCACACAAAAAGACTAATGTTAGACATGAATAGTTGCTAGACAAATGTAGTTTGTTATTTATCATATATGTATATTTTCATAACAAAAATGTCATACTTAATGAAACAAGTTAAACAAAAGTATAAAATTTCATAGTATAAAATATAAATACATTTTCATTCTAAAAGTATGACGAGTTAACACGATTAATGATTAAACAACCTAACATAAGCATTTCTAATACTCATTTTGTCATTCATTGTTTAAGGCAAAGTCTTACATAATAGATTTCCACACCCATATATTTACATAACATTTTTGCAGGACAACTGCACAAGTACATTACCATAAAACAAAGACGAGGTTTACTACAATACTTAAAGCATATAAAGATGGTTTGTTCATCCCTAAGCTGCTTTAGCAAACCCGACTCTCAGTTTGCCATAGTCGAACACCGTTTGGTATGGACCCATGAAAATATCTCCCAATATCCTGCAATGCCATACAAAAAACCCCATCAGTCGAGAGAATCGTAACAAATATTTGGCCTCTTTTTCTTTTCGAAAAACAAAAAAAGGAGAAATTTACCAAAGAGGTCCACGTGGAGGAGGAATGTCGAGACCCGTAAAACCGCTTACGCATTGTGCTCGGGCACCCTCACCCACCTTGAGTATGTACTGCGATTATGAATGAAAATTAGCTGACAGCTTATAAGTGAATTTCGAGTTTATAGCTGATAGAGTATGGCTTACAATTGAAAAGTTTGTTCATATGATAAGAGTATTTGGTAAAATTAGCTGATAAGTCAGTTGAAATAAATATTTCAACGAGTTTATTTGAAATGTTATTCGAGGAAACTTATGAGATAAGCCCGAGCTTATTAAAAAAGTTTGTCGTACCAAACCAAACTTATTTGAATACAGAAAGCTTATAAGCTAACCAAATAAGCTACTAGCTAGCTTATGGTGCTTATAATCGTACCTGATTTGGCGAAAGATCAAAGACTTTCCCACCGATCGTGAAGGAAACACTCGGCATAGATGAAATGCTTGTACAGTCGACAATCGATTCTCCCATTGGATTAGGCATCTTCTCGCAAAGCTGCACGAAGAATTGTCAGAAGGCATTTAGATTAGATTGGATTGGCCAAAAACAGAGATAAAAATTTGTTATCTGTTGTTACAAAAAAAAAAAAGGAAATTACAAAATCAAAAAAAGTGTACCTCGTCAACATATTTCAAAATGTGGACTTGAGTCTTGTTCTGTCTCAGCTCGTTTTGCATCCAAACAACGGCCATCTCACATGCAGGGCACATGCCGTCTGCTTTCTCGTCCAC